GATCATGTTATAAAAATAATTTATAAATATACAATAACATTAATAGGTCGGCCTGTTAGGCTTCTTTTTAAAAGGTCTGGGTCTGGCCTATTTCGGCTAAATAGACTTTTGGAGAAGTCTAAGTCTGGCATGTTTACTAAAAAGGTTTGCCCTGGCTTGTCCTGTCATAGGTCAGGTAATAGGCCCCTGATAGGCAGTCTGGCATGTTTCCACTCTTAGATAACATTTCATTGACTCTTTAAAAATAAATAAAATGTATGTATTGATGATGTATAAATTTTATAGACTGTTATTATATCATTCATATTAAATTATTATTAATTCTTTAAATAATTAATCCGTAGATAATATAATGGTTGTATATAAATTTTTATATGAACATGATATAAATATTATATTCTTCAAAAAAAAAATGGAATTATGACGATTTTCACAGTAGGTTATAACTAGAGTTTGGGGGAGACAGGAAGAAGTAATGTTTTTCCCTTCATTTATAATATTTTACAGGATAATTTCATTATTTGTTTTATATATTTCTAATAGTTTCTTTTATTCAAAAAAAAAAGTTTTGGGTAGTTAAATTACGGGCTAACTAGAGTATGTTATTTTCTGTGGACTGAGATAACACCCTCCTGATTATTATGTATCAAATTTTTTGTGGGTTCTGGTACAATATTGGTGTTTAGATACTTTTTATATTGTTATCACAATTTTTTGTGGGTTCTGGTACAATTTTCTCTAAACTTTAGATACTTTTTTGCACGATCTTTCAGGAGACAATGATCAATATAAAAAAAATAATCTAACAATCCCTGAAGTGTTTACTTTCAAATAAACAAATTAATACAAGAAAAATTAATCTAACAATCCCTGATGGGACTACTAAACTGTTAGTAATAGAGTACAATGCGGAAGCACAAGATTGGATCAATTGAGAATAAAAGAGAAACAAGTAAATGAGCAAGAAAATAACACACAATATTTAACGTGGAAAACCCCTCAGTGTGAGAGGTAAAAAACCACAGGCGATCACGAGCAAAATTTCACTATGTAAAAGGGAGAGTACAACAAATCCTCTTATAATAATGAGGACAAAGGACAATATTTATCTCACAAATACTCTCTCAAATGAAACAAGAATTCTCACCACAAAATCACTCACACAATAAATAAATAAATAAAACACTCAATGAATGTTGCTTGTGTTTTTGTGATGCTGAATATTTTGTGATGCATTTGTTCAATGCTTGGCCTGCCTTTTATAGGAAAATGAATGCATTGAAATGTTGCATTTCTTAACATTGAAAAAACTTGGGTGGTGGAGGAGTGAAACTTAGCAAGTAAGTTAGAAAGCCTATAAACATAGGTCTGCAAAATAAATTGTAGGCTTTAGCTTGAGTTGCAATTTGTAGGACAACATTTCTTTGTCAAGAAGCAACCACATGAGAGCCACATAATCTAACATAAAGAAAATCTCCAAAAAACAAAACTTGATACTTTTATTCCACCCCTCCAAAAGGACACGTCACGACCAGACAAGGGAGACGGTTAGCCTAATAACCCGGACAAGGGGGATAATCCTTAAAGCTCTCACGGACAAGAAGATCGGACAATTCGAAGAGATGTTCTTCCAACGACAAGACAACATAGGGTCCACCTCTTCTATCCCTTTGTTGCACCACATGCACAAAACTATCACCTCAAACTGCACAATCTAGGCTCCTGCTACAAGCCGCAAGTTACTATGCTCTGTTGTGCCACGATTAGACGATAAGATGGGCCTGCAATACGGCTGCACATCCCACCTACATAGTACGGGTTTGCCTAAAGTGTTCTAACATGGAAAACAACTTTTGCTTGTTTGAGACAGACCCGACATGGCCTTCTGACCTAACATGGGAATATTCCTCTCACTTTAGCAGAGTTCACCCCCTTCGGAAAATTTACTTAAGCATTGAACTTACTTACTTATTCTTTCACTCTACCTCTTGATATTATTCTCTCACATATCTAACATGTCGCGTTCAAGCACTTCTCACACGATACTAAAAGATTCATCATCTGATTCTCACCTCCAAATTCACCTTCTTAAAACCAATGGACAAGTTTTTAGTGATTGTGTCGAGAAATTTTTTTGAAGAAACAAATTGATCATTTTTAATATTATCTATTTCAATAATTTTGCCATATTATTACTAAATTCATAGCTAGGGATAACAACGGGCACAATGTAAAGACTCAAATTCTATCATTGGAAATTTTTCTTATTTTAACTCATGCTAACATTCATTTTGTTCATATTTTATGATTAGTAACCGAAAATACGTTACATTATTTACCTTGATTATTTCCTAACTGTTTATCATGCAGTATTCATACTTTAAAGGTTCATGTTATTGTAATTCGGTAACTACCGCATACAATTAGCTATGGGTCACCATGATACCCATAACTACACATATCCTGAGTTACAATTATCTGAAGGTTATTATATCCATAGTTACAAAATACTTTAAATTATCAGATATGCACTCATGATACAAAAATTGTGCAAATAAAGACATCCATAATGTAAAGCTCCTAAAGCTCCCAAAAATAAGCCTCCTCATTCTACCTGCTTATCTGCAATGGGATTATCAATGACAAATACACAAAACATACAAAGGAGTAAGTCATTAGTTCAATAAACATCATTATAAGAGAATCCACAATAAAAAGGGGTTAGTAAACCATTTTTTTAAATTCATTTTTCTTGCTGCATTACTTGAGCTGAAGTCGCTACACCCTTTAAAGTTAGCTAAAAGCAGATTCCCTTTTCTTTTAAAACGAAAACGTGCTACATATACTCGAGCCGGAGTTTTGCTTCATATACTCGAGCCGGAGTTTTGCTTCATATACTCGAGTCGGAGTCGCTAACCATTCATGGTCGGCTAAAATTTATTTTCTTTTTTAAAACAAAATCATGCTGCATATACTCGAGCCGGAGTTTTGCTTCATATAATCGAGCCGGAGTTTCGCTTCATATACTCGGGCCGAAGTTTTGCTTCTTATACTCGAGTCGGAGTTTTGCTTCTTATACTCGAGTCGGAGTTTTGCTTCTTATACTCGAGTCGGAGTTTTGCTTCTTATACTCGAGCCGGAGTCGCTAACCATTCATGGTCGGCTAAAAATATATTTTCTTTTCGTCGATTTCACCATCAATCATTTCCCGTAAATCCACGCATTCATTAGTATAAACACACTCATATATGTTTATATTAAATACGTGATTCACAATATAATTATGGTACAACCAGAAAATACACACATTTTCTATTTCAAATGCACAAGTAAAGACTTATCCTTACCCCAGTGAGTGTTGGGGGATCGGTTTTTGAGTAACTTTACCACTCCACGATCTCCTCCAACCTTATGATCTTTCCTCATTCCTACCAATAACAACAATGTCAGTCATTTATTTAAAATAACACATAAACGACTCATATTTCATCGTCAGACACACAAGAGTTTCATATATGTTCAATGTTTCCAAAACTACTTCATTAGGAGTTTTCAAACATCTAAAACATATATATTCATCTCATATATCAACATTAAAGCACAACTCATCTTCTACATTTAACATTTCACCCATTTCCATTTTTACTCATATTCTCATTTTGGGGGTTTTGGGGTTTTCATGAATAAACCAACAAAACATTTCCATTCGTCAAATACCAACCCTAAACCAAGAGTTTACAAGAGAAAAACAACATAAAACGAACCATAACTCTAAAGGAAGAGTTTCCATTGTTTCTCATACTTTGAGAAGAGATCCATACACCCAAAACAAGTTAGAGGGGAAGAAGAAGAGTTAGAAACAAGAGGTTTACATATTCTCAAGTTCTAAGATGATTCATAAGGCTCTTTGCTCTTGAAAATCTCTCTTCTCTCACTTCTCTTCAAAGTTCTAACCCTAAAATGTGTTTGGGGTTTCTATTTTAAAGTGAAATTGTCGGGTTCTCGCTCAAGCGAGCCCATTCTCGCTCAGGCGAGGAAATCCCGCCTTTTTAAAATTTCAGATCTGACGTTCTCGCTCAAGCGAGAATCCTTTCGCTCAAGCGAAGATCTTACAGCCTCGACAGGTCCTGAATGCCACCTTTCTCGCCCATGCGAGACATCTCTCGCTTAGGCGAGACCACTCTTGCTCAAGCGAGACCACTCTCGCTCAAGCGAGACAATTCTCGCTCAAGCGAGGATCCTTCAATATAGCCCAGGATTTTATCCTCTCAAGTAAGCCTCTCTCGCCCAGACGACGATTCTCTCGCTCAAGCGAAACTCCCAGGACTGGTACTATAATTTAATAACTTTAAAATCTATGGTGTTACACACAGGCGGGCACGGTAGTGCATGCCCGTACCCGCACTATTTGCGAGTAGCAGATATCCACGGGTACCCAACGGATCTCTAATTATAGTTTTATATATTTTATAATAATTAATCTATAAAAATAATTTTTACTTAAATAATATGACATGTATATTTTATGATTATAGTCTCATTACTAAATTTTATTATAAAGTAATAATAAAATAAACAAATATAATATTAAATTAATAATAAATAAATATAAAATATTTAATTAAAATATATATGCGGATACCTGCGGGACGGATATCATGATATCCGTTCTCACTCATCCGCTAATTTGCGGATACCCGTTGCATGTATTTTGACGGATACCCACGAGTTCGGGTATATTTACTTATTATTTTTCGGGGCAGGTTAAGGAACTGCGCACCATCCGCACATTTTAGAGACTTGTTATAGCTTCTTGACACGACACTATAGCCGATTTACTCAAAACCCTAGCTCCCCTTTTCCCCTCTTTATAAACAGTCACTCACCTCTCTTTAACTTCACAATTCTCACTTTATTCTCATCTTCTCTTTTTATTTATCAAGTTTTTATTTCACTCTTTATTATTATGATGTTATGGTTTATCAAAAAAGTAGAATCAAAGACGATGATGATTTATAGTTTAAGGTCTCGTTCGTCGTAATTGGCGTTTTCGCCTTGCCGACCATTCTGCTATATCACCACCCATATTCTGAGTCTCTTTGTTCCATTCAATTTTTCTTTAGAAAAAAAAAATTGTTTTAGTATTGTTTTTTTGGATTTTTATTTAAATTTCGTTTTCAATATTACCTACGATTTGAGTTTCTAACTTTTTTTATCTTCCAATGACTATATCACAAAAAATTGAAAGTGTCTTTTAGATCTTCACTGCTTTGTTTGGTTGGTATAATCAGTTTTTTTTATAGCTTTTAGTTAATGCTTTTTAATGTTTCGAAATTTGATTAATTGTATTAAATTTGAATGGTTAACGTCTGTGATGATAATTTGAAGGCTTGTTTCTCAAAACATTCACAGTGGCCGACCAAGAGTTTTCGCCTTCGCCAGGCTTGAGAACTAATGTTGTTCTTATCCTTCCTTGGATGTCTGAGACGTTCTTACTTTTATAGTTTAGTTGTCACATTATCATGGCAATCTGTGTATTAAATTGAGGTCGTGATTGTGATTGTTATTGCGGTCGCGATTTAAATTGCAGAGTACATCACTTGTTCTGTACTATTGTGATTGTGGTGACCGCCGTAACTATATCACACTGTAATTGCGGTGACCACCATAACTATATCACACTGTAATTGCGGTGACCGTCATAACTATGTCACGATGTAATTGCACCACCGTAATTATATCACACTGTAATTGCACCGCCGTAATTATATCACACTGTAATTGCACCGCCATAACCATATCACACTGTAATGTAATTGCGGTGACCGCCGTAACCATATCACACTGTAATTATGGCTCGACTCTGAATCACAATGATGTGGCTGCATCGGGCTTCTTATACTCGAGTCGGAGTTTTGCTTCTTATACTCGAGCCGGAGTCGCTAACCATTCATGGTCGGCTAAAAATATATTTTATTTTCGTCGATTTCACCATCAATCATTTCCCGTAAATTCACGCATTCATTAGTATAAACGCATCCATATATATTTATATTAAATACGTGATTCACAATATAATTATGGTACAACCAGAAAATACACACATTTTCTATTTCAAATGCACAAGTAAAGACTTATCCTTACCTCAGTGAGTGTTGGGGGATCGGTTTTTGAGTAACTTTACCACTCTATGATCTCCTCCAACCTTAGGATCTTTCCTCATTCCTACCAATAAAAACAATGTCAGTCATTTATTTAAAATAACACATAAACGACTCATATTTCATCGTTAGACATACAAGAGTTTCATATATGTTCAATGTTTCCAAAACTACTTCATTAGGAGTTTCCAAATATCTAAAACATACATATTCATCTCATATATCAACATTAAAGCACAACTCATCTTCTACATTTAACATTTCACCCATTTCCATTTTTACTCATATTCTCATTTTGGGGGTTTTTGGGTTTTCATGAATAAACCAACAAAACCTTTTCATTCGTCAAATATCAACCCTGAATCAAGAGTTTACCTATTCTCAAGTTCTAAGATGATTCATAAGGCTCTTTGCTCTTGAAAAGCTCTCTTCTCTCACTTCTCTTCAAAGTTCTAACCCTAAAATGTGTTTGGAGTTTCTATTTTAAAGTGAAATTGTCGGGTTCTCACTCAAGCGAGCCCATTCTCGCTCAAGCGAGGAAATCCCGCATTTTTAAAATTTCAGATCTGACGTTCTCGCTCAAGCGAGAATCCTTTCGTTCAAGCGAAGATCTTACAGCCTCGACAGGTCCTGAATGCCACCTTTCTCGCTCAGGCGAGACATCTCTCGCTCAGACGAGACCACTCTCGCTCAAGCGAGACAATTCTCGCTCAAGCGAGGATCCTTCAGTATAACCCAGGATTTCACCCTCTCAAGTAAGCTTCTCTCGCCCAGACGACGATTCTCTCGCTCAAGCGAGATTCCCAGGAGTGGTAATATAATTTAATGACTTTAAAATCTAGGTTGTTACAAACAGGCGGGCACGGTAGTGCATGCCCGTACCCGCACTATTTGCGAGTAGCAGGTATCCGCGGGTACCCAACGGATCTCTAATTATATTTTTATATATTTTATAATAATTAATCTATAAAAATAATTTTTACTTAAATAATATGACATGTATATGATAATTTTATGATTATAGTCTCATTACTAAATTTTATTATAAAGTAATAATAAAATAAACAAATATAATGTTAAATTAATAATAAATAAATATAAAATATTTAATTAAAATATATAATTGGCGTTTTCGCCTTGCCGACCATTCTGCTATATCACCACCCATATTCTGAGTCTCTTTGTTCCATTCAATTTTTCTTTAGAAAAAAAAATTGTTTTAGTATTATTTTTTTGGATTTTTATTTAAATTTTGTTTTCAATATTACCTACGATTTGAGTTTCTAACTTTTTTTATCTTCCAATGACTATATCACAAAAAATTGAAAGAGTCTTTTAGATCTTCCCTGCTTTGTTTGGTTGGTATAATCAACTTTTTTTTATAGCTTTTAGTTAATGCTTTTTAATGTTTCGAAATTTGATTAATTGTATTAAATTTGAATGGTTAACGTCTGTGATGATAATTTGTAGGCTTGTTTCTCAAAACATTCGCAGTGGCCGACCAAGAGTTTTCGCCTTCGCCAGGCTTGAGAACTAATGTTGTTCTTATCCTTCCTTGGATGTCTGAGACGTTCTTACTTTTATAGTTTAGTTGTCACATTATCATGGCAATCTGTTTATTAAATTGAGGTCGTGATTGTGATTGTTATTGCGGTCGCGGTTTAAATTGCAGAGTACATCACTTGTTCGAACTGTAATATTGTGATTGCGGTGACCGCTATAACCATATCACACTGTGATGTAATTGCGGTGACCGCTTTAACCATATCACATTGTGATGTAATTGCGGTGACCGCTGTAACCATATCACACTGTGATGTAATTGCGGTGACCGCTGTAACCATATCACACTGTGATGTAATTGTGGTGACCGCTGTAACCATACCACACTGTAATGTAATTGCGGTGACCGCTTTAACCACATCACACTGTAATGTAATTGCGGTGACCGCTGTAACCATATCACACTGTAATGTAATTGCGGTGACCGTTGTAACCATATCACACTGTAATGTAATTGCGGTGACCGCTGTAACTATATCACACTGTAATTATGGCGTGACTCTGAATCACGATGATGTGACTGCATCGGGCTTCAACGCAACTGCATTCGGCCGCATTGGACCGCATCGAACCGTATAAGGCCGCATTGGATTCAAAAATATCGTTTTAATAACAAAATAATTCACATGACACTGGTTGTAATCCAGATCATAACATACGCAATGACCGCAATCACAATGATCACAAAAGTTATTGCAATCGTAACCACAATTTAAAATACTACTTACATCTTTTGTTGTAATTTGGTGTCATGCATCATCTTATGTTGTCCTCAATCTGAATGGTTGCAATATCCAATTTGCTATTTATGTTATGTTATTTTTAGTTGCATTAATCTGAAATTGAAGTTTTCTAAATGTTGGTTATTGTGCTTTGTAGTTGTAATTTTTATTATGGATGTATTTGGTGCTAATGAAATTAATTGTTATATGATTATAATGTGTTTGATTAATGATAAGAACTTTCGCCTTGTTTCTCAACACATTCGCAGTGGCCGCCTAAGAACTTTCGCCTTCGCCAGGCTTGAGAGTTTGTGCAGCTTTATTCCTTCCTTGGATGTCTGAGCCCAAATGTTACTTATTATTTTATTATTGTTTGGATCTAATTTGTTTTCGAGTTTAAAATCTATGCATTGTCAATATACAGTTTTTTATATTGTCTGACATTAATTTATATTATTTTTATTTTAAGAGTTAATAATAGTTAACATTTGAATGATGAATAATTTGCTGACAATATAAAGAATATTTACACTGAGTACACTAAATGTATACATATTAGATCCCATCCCTTGTTTTTTCAGGTTTTTAATTAATTCATTTCATGCCTGTGATTGCTGGCATCAAGGAAAACTCAAATTGACGTGAAAGCTTAGAAAGAGTTATGTATGAAAGAAGGCAATCAAACTTTTTTTTGGAAGAGAGCACTTTTTATGAGTTGTTCGAAGTACACGTTTTTTGGTATAATCAAATGAACTAATTTATTTTAGCTGCTTCTCTATAGAGTAATTTGACTTTCATCTATACGAGGATGTAGTGAGACATTCTACTGAGCTAATGCATTGTTGGTAATGATGAATAGAGTTTGATATTAGAGCTATGAATGTATTGTGTATTCTTTGAAGTTTTTATACATGTGTGAAGTCATTATCATAGAATTTATATATACTCTTTATTTTCACGAGTGTAATATCTTTATTGTAAAGATTTATATAGAGAGTATGAAGTTCTCTAAAAGTTAATTTTGAATAAGTATGAATTGTGAATTATAGTGATAATGTAAGAGTTTTTATATTGTCGATGCATTTTTTTTTTCTTGTGGTTCAATCAGTATTGTGATAACTGGACGGTCCGATCGCTGACCGGACTTAAAAACAACTTCATTTTGCATTCTTAACTGAATGAGTAGTTGGACTGCTTTGAACCTGACAAATTTCGGTTCGACTATGCTAAACTCGGTTAAATCGGAATAACCCGGGAAAAAAACTCGGATTGTTCACTTAAAATTTTAAAAAAATGGAACATTACTGTAATGTTTTGTTTTATTTCGGTCCAAAAAAGATAGAGAGATATTACTTCAAAATAGTTATATAAAATTATTAATTATATTTAAAATCATCTGGTTTGACCGGAAGGTTTAATTGTTTAAACCGCTTAGATTTAATAGGAAAGTTTTTCCTGCTTGAAATCCGGCTCGGTTTTACAAGATTGGGTTCATTACTTCAATCCATATAACTCCTTTCTCTTTATTGTTGGGCACAAATTGCTCTATTGCCTTCTTTCCTCAGTTTTTCAAATGAAACGACCCTTTATACAAAGCTGATTTGGTAACAACCTACCCCTTAACTAGCAAACTTTAATTAATTGCACAAACAAGGTATCTGTATGACTAACAATTAAAGTCAGGTGTAGATTGGACATGTTTGGGTTTGCCTAAAATGTAAGACACACATAATTGTGACTAACAATTTGTGACTGTCACATGTTTTATTCAAAACATATATTTGTATAAATATGATAACTTATCAATGTTGAACTAATTATTGAAACTTATTCAAATGCCAACAGTGCTAGTGTCCCACACCTTTAATCGCATGTCTAATCAATCCAATAAATGAACTAAGAATATATTTAAATTTTAGTTCCTTGTATATTTTGAAAGGAGTGACTCATATGTAAAACTCTCAAATTCCTAATCCTAAATGTGTATGTATCTATTTATGTATTGGGTAAAGACAAAGAAGTGTTGGGTAATTTATAAATTGTTTTACTTAGTACTTTAATATGGAATGGTCAAATGATTAGAAGATAGACTTAAACCTTATCTAAATCAGTAATGAGTTAGAGCTATTTGCTAGGACATGTCAGGTCCCATACTGCCCTACAAAAACTGGTCATTGAAGTATTAAACCCTTAACCATAAGGTCTTTGTATTTTCAAATGATGCTTCAAAGGCCAAAATGATCCATTTTTTAATGATAAATAAATGGAACCATCTAAACAAGTCAAAGTGGCATGTAGGTATATGTAGCTTTATATATTTATGGTGCCAATCTGCAAAAATGCACCTCTAGTTCCCATTTAATTACTCAACACCCTAACATTGTTTGTTCTTATTTTATAAAAAAAAAACATTAGTCTAATAATTTAAGACAAAAAAGATAAGTCAAATATTCAATTTATGATTGCAATATTTATTCATATAGGCAAGATATACATTCTGAATAAGATTAGTTTCTTAACTATATAATGATGAAATAACCTTGATTATATGTCACTTGTTCTGAATTTGTGACTGGACAAAAATAATTTTTCAACCAAAAAATAATAACTAAGTATTTTTTTAATCCATGTACTCCCTTCTTCACTGATACTCAATGAGTATAAGAGAATAAAAAAATAGAAAAAATATGTATATACCGATAATATAAGAGTTATTTACACTCTCACTTCATCATCTACCAATCATTTTCAATCATCATTTTACTTTTAAATAAAAGTATCATAAATGAATAATGGATGATACACTAAGTATACATAAATCTTTAAACTATCAGACTGTCAATGTATAAATATTACACTCTAAAAAATATTTTACTATCAATAATTTACTTTGGTTCAAGCTCATGGAACTACTGCAAGGGATTCTACTCTAGGCAGCCCCTCCATCTTTGCACCAAGCTCCATCATGGCATAAAGATAATGACACCAAGCTTAAGACACAGGTAGTTTTATCCAAAACTATGGTTTCAATTGATGGCTGAACCAAATGGTGGCTTTGTGGCTTCTACAAGAACCACTACTAAGAAGGACCATCAACTGCCAGTCTCACCATGTGACTATATGAGACTTTCGCTGAAATAGGACTCTTCGGCCATTTTCACTGTCCTTGGCACATGCCCATGATAGGCGGGCAGCTCAGTTCTGGGGAGTATAAATGTACACAACCTTATCCTTACGAACGAAGAGTTTGTTTCTAGTATTTGAACTCACGATCTCTTAGTTACTAAGCAACAACCTTATGCACTGAGACTCACCCTCTTTGCCCATGATAGAAGAGATTAAAATAAAAATAACAAAATTTGAAGAATTAACACATAATAGAATGGATCTTTATATGAATTCAGAATCAGAATACAAATTATATCAGCTAAAATTCAATGAGCACAGTGCATCTTTTCTGGTACACCTTCAACCAAGGGGTGCACCATCCTCCTTCCTATAGTACCTGATTCATCTTAATCCTCAAGGTTGACCATTACTTACATTAGCTAATACCAAGAGTGAGGAAGAACTTGAAAAAGTTCCACAGCATAATGAACAATAAAAAGGGATGATATGAAAATTGACAAAATTGATATCATTCATAATAAAGATCCATTCAATTGGTGTCATTGTACAAAGAATTGTCATTGAGATGGTAGAGTACTCTCCTGCTTGCTTTCAACAGCACATCCTTCCTTAGAAATTGTGCTAGCAATTCTATTTGGCGGCCAATAGCGGAATACCGACCTACCTATAATGTTCTTGGCTGGAAGGGGACCCCTGCGAAAATTGCATCACAAATAAACTTAAGAAATAAAGAAACAGTGATGCTGAAGATGATTAATCTGGATTATTCTGATCTTAAAACACATTACCACACATGAGAATCATAGCTGTTATTGCGGTTGTCTCCCATCACAAAAACATAGTTCTCCGGTACACGCTGCAAAGCACGAATTTGTCAAACTAAATTCGAAAACTAAAGGTTATTAACTAGTTGAAGTCTAAAGCAATAGGCCAAACATCCCTCAAATGGAGAAGAGTAGAACTTACTGTAGGTTCCATCTCATAAGAAGGTGCCTCAAAGATGAACTTTTCATTCCTCTCAACCCCATTAACAATAAGATGCCCTTTGCGAACCTGCAATAATTCAATTACTCGAGTTTAAAAGGCTAAGGCATCAAATCAAACACACCGAGAATCTAAGCAAAGCATCTGTCAATACCAAGTTATAACTGAATACTACTATCTGCAATATTTGTATTCTATGTTCATGCAAACTTCAAAGTTCCAAGTACATGTAACAAGCAGTACGCAGCTAACCAATTTGGAACAGTGGGAAAGAAAAAACTTCAACCAGAGGCGAATGTTGAAAATATAAATTAATCAATGAATACATACAATATCTATTGCTATTAAAAAATATCTTATGACCTCTCTTCTCATATCTTAACACTTGTCCGGGCCACACGCACAGTTTCACAGCAGTCTCCATTCTGTGGAGATCACTACCGGAAAGTGTTTTCCTTTGTTGAACTAACTCTTAGAAACAATAAACCACAGACAGCGACAGTCGATAGAGTATATCTCTTTGATTGTTTGAATGTGAAAGGGATTTACAGGTCTTCTTCTACCAATTTATATTGGAATTTTCATTTTATAGAAATTTGAATGGTAGAGAAGTTATTAAAGCAGAGTCTCTTTTGGCTTTGCATGAACATATCCATTTTTCCTTCAATAAGATAAAAGAGTCTGATATCCTGATGCCATGGGAATCTTTTCTCGTAAATATTAGTATCAGTTCCTGATAAAATCTCCTAATCGAGAAACACTTCTTTTGGATATAAACCCATATGAAAATCCAAACTCCCCCACATATAGGTCAAATCTTTTGTCTGGACTGTCATTCTTAACAAGATTAACACTAATGACATGTAAAAAAGCACAGACCTCTCACCGATTTGTCCCGTAATATTTGTGTGATGTATTGTTCAAGTTTGGAAAACAGGATACTCTTTTCACACTGTTCTGCTCGAACTTTTTTTGAAACAAGCTTTTAGGCAGCTTTGAAGAGAACTGGGTTTGTCTTGAGGGTTCGCATCAATTTCTAATAAACTTTATAGCCTTTGGCTTCTGGGAACATTCTAAAATTCTATGGCAATGCATTGTCTTTGGTTATGCCAGGATGTTCAAGGGAACTTCTTATCTGTCGATAACATTTAGGACATTGTCTTGCTTAACTAAATGACACAAATGCTTAGCTCCCAAGTGTTTCTTTTGATTTCTTAGGAGGATATGCCAGTT